CAAAACGTCTTCTTATGAAATATTGCAGCTTCTTTATGAAAGGGTCCATTGTTCTTGAAGTGAGCTTTTCACTCCGAAGCGCTCCTTTTAATTATATAACTGAGAATAGGTACAAACGTGGATATTTCAAGTTGGAAAAGAGCTTTTGCAGGGGCAGCTAGCGAAGAGGCAGTCAGGATCAGGGGACACAAGTTCAACCAGCTCTCCTGTCTGTCCCCTCCTCCTCCATCTCATCGCTGGTAGCCAGTGCTCTCATTTTTTACACACAACATCACAGAAAGGAACAGCAGTCCTTCCCCCGAAAACAAAATGAAAATGAAAGAGGGCATCGTGTGTCAAAGGGAGAGCATGATCTCCACACCGTACTCATTTTCGATCTGTAGCAGGCAACTGACATTCCATGTCCAAACAGGCAGAACTGTAGTAACAGTGATCCAAAAGAATCGTGCAAACTGCAGCTGCAAGAGAAACCTGGTGTCCCAATCCCTTCATCGAGGCAAAACCCAAAAGAAGTGGGACAATCTTTTCAATGTAAAGTGAAAAATAATGTCTCTGAAACAGAGCCAACAAAGCCATTACAGCTATGCTGGATTCACAGTATGGTCAGAATAAAATATTGCATACTTGTGCACACTTGTCTCGCCAGCTTTTCGATTCATATCAAACAGGTTGTTGCGAACAACCCCAGCTTGCAGATATGCCATTGAAAACGACCAAAACTTATAATTAATAAAATGAATAACTATAAGAAAACATAATAATTGAAGGAGCAGCTTCACTACATACAATCAGGAAAACGCAGAGAAGTCAACCATTAGAAAGCTTAAATTGATTATTGAAAAGAAAATCACTGTCCAAATTCAGGACATACTGAATCCACAGCAACAGCCTTGTCGGGTAGAGGGAGAACACAGGAAGGGAAATTTGGGAAATCCGGTCAACTTTATTCTACATTAAGGTGAAGATGCATCAAGCCTGCAAAACAATCTGCCAATTCACTGCCTTAAGGACTCATAACGCCAAGTCAGGCAGTCAGGAATCTTGCCACAGACACCAGCATCAGCCTCTCCAATAGAAAAGGTTTTGGCAAAAGATCCACCCCCAGCTGATCACGACACACAAAACCCACTGTGGTGACCCATCCAAAAGACTCGCAAACCACGGAGATGAGCCTGACTTTAAGCAAAAAGAAGCCGAAGTCTTCTGTCAGATGATCCGAGTAGAAGACTGATGCCCAAAGATCCAGCACCAATCCAAAGGCTCCCAGAGACACTTACATTCAGAAAAGGAATATTTTTTTTAAACTGTTCCCCATCAGTGAAACTAAAGAGCACGACACGGCTCATCACGGGCTCTCTGCTCTGAACACAAGCATGCTCCTAAACCATGTCCAACATTTATGGGGAATCCCAAGAGGCTGATGGGTCTCTGGAAGACTCATGATTTAGAACCTGCCTGAGGAGATGATTTTACACACATCCGATTATGAAGTTTTACTTTCAACACCACAAGCGATTTTATTTTGATACTACTTAATCTCATGCGACAAATATCTGTTATTTCTAAATAATGATGTTTTTAATTACGTGACGTGCCTGAAACGTTGTTGGCTAAAATATTTTTCCTTCCTATCTGAGGTTTAATCAATGCACATATGCATTCTCTTCGTACGAAATACAAACTTTAACTGGAAATGAAATACCTCTTTAATTAAAGCATGAAGCTGCAAAGACAAGCAATAAAAAATTCAGTTGATCTATACTGAATGGAGAGCTAATGAAAAACATGATTAGGAAGCATACAGGATTGAAGTAAGGAAAATCACTGTTTAAAGTAATGTGAAATTAGCTAAATGTAGAAAGAAGGACCTGTAATAATCAAAACAGAATATTGCTTCAGAATAGCTGCTGAAAATTATACACCTATAAGGTGAAGTAGACTTTCGTTTGTTCAGACAAAAGAAGCCTGAAATTAGGCCAAGAACTGTCAGCGTACTTGTTAAAGAGAATTAAAACCTCAACAAAAACTTCAGATAAACGGCATTTCTACATCAGCCCGACATCCCTGGACATTAACCAAAATTCATGTAGCATACTCCAAATGACTTTTTTCAACAATTAGAGAATTCAACCTACTAATGAGAAAGACAAAGAATACTGTGCTGCTCTTAGCTCACACAGGAGCATTTGAGCTAAAAAAGCAGCACAACAGGCGATGTACATGCGTTGTATCTGGATTCTTAAAATGAGGGCATTTTGAAATAAGAGCACAAGAAAATTTTGTCTCTGACCTTTGAAGAATCAGCCGAAGAAAGATAAAGAACTGGCTCTTAAGGCCATAACAACGAAATTTCATGTAACAGACGTATGTAGCAAAAACAGTATTTTCGACAATTGGTGGCCCATCTGCCTTTCAGGCAATGACTGTACATTTATAGCTTTTATAGTCTCAAAGAAAACTATTCCACATTTAAAGTGTTACATGAAACAACATTCTGACTTTAGAAAGGTAGGACGCAGTTTGATTGTATTTGCAATATGCCTGATTTTCTGGATTATTCTGATTTTATTCCAAAAACAATCTAATTATTGCTTTGACATTTATAAGGCCTTCAGTACAGCAGAGGATTATATTATGTTGAAAAGCCTTACTATGTGACTTCAGGAACATTTTCTTCTAGGTCTGAATGAGTTTATAGAAATGTCATTTGTTCCTTTCTAGTACAGAACGAATGTAACGTCTCAAAAGATTTAATGTTAGTCATGTTATTCAGCAGGGTGTCCATATATGCCTCGCAAGGTGCTATATCAAAAAATACAAGACAGATTTCAAATTACATTTTTACTGACCCTGCAATTAGCAACATGCATTAAGAAAAAAGCTAAAGATAAGTAGTCACTAGGGTTTCTATAAATAAATAGAGAGCTGCTGTTCTCTAAAAATAATACACACACTTAGATTAAGTATGCAAAATGGACATAAAATGTGAATTGTTCAAAAGTCATTAACAACAAAGACCACAGATAAATAGTTTTGTTAAGCTTTCCCCTTCTTAATATCAATGCACACTCAAGACTTCATTTAAAGCTTCAAAGACAATTTTCTTAAGTTGGAGAACTCCAGCAGAAAAAGCTGACTGGTTATCTAAAATAATTTATGCTACATTACTTTCCATGATCCCAAACGAAATTTACAATCCAATTTATAGTACATCTTAATTTAGTGGGAGAAAATAAGACCTCATACGGGCGGTAAAATGTGTTTTAATGAATCATACTAAATTTTACAAGAAGTTTCAGAAATGACCTTTTTCAACACTAAATATCACTCCTGTCCCTATTTTTAGAAACCGAGGTACTTTAAAAGTTTGGACAATTATGCCAACACAGCCAAATTAAACCAAAACTTAAGTCCAACAGCTAACTACAAATGACAAAACTGGCTCTTGAAGGTAACGGAGTAGACCCAAGTAACCTCTGGCAAAGTGACATGTCTAGAATTTATAACTGGCAACTGGATTAACATTTTAATTTAATCCAGACCAATGACATTAGAGACCCTGTCAAAGATTCATAAACAGGGCCGAATTGATCTCTTATCTATAAACACAAACTCTCCCCTCATAAATATTTTAATTGAAACAATGAGGATATTCGTTACCAAAATAAGTCATGTTTTTTTCTCCCCAGATGTTTTGATAAGGACATACTGTCGGTCAGGTTCGGGGTTTTAGTGGCCAGCTGTTTACACAGGGTACCAGTCAGGATTAGCTTTGATCACACACCCAGCAGCGCACAGCTGCAAGGCCAAATTGTTATCAAACCTGCGCCTACCCTTTCACCTCTTAGAACCACATGATGCTATTGGACAAAATCTGTTCACAATGAACACAACAATAACGTGATCAGATTTATCTTTCAAAAGCACACAGTTCCAAACCCACGTCACAGCTCGCCTTTACAATTGAGAATCTTAACAAAAAAAAAGTCAACAAATACCTTTCCAGCAATAAAAGAAGATGTATATCTTAGAAGATAATCTGCTATTCTGTTAAATAAAACATCTGTTTTGTAACTGTTTTGGCATATAAATATTTTTCAATAACTAACTTATTAAAATGATACATGGTGGAGTATTTATTCAAACAAATGTTTGTTGATTTAATATAAGAATCTGATTTAAAAACTGATAAAACTAATTCAATACAAAGTCAAGAAGCAATAAATAAAAGTTTCATCTCTGCGTCTTGATCTTGGTTCTTTTACTTATATGATCTGGAGTAACATTTACATCTGATTAATTTTTTTTTAAAAGGCAGCTAAAAAGCTATTTAATAATCAGAGTTTAATAGCTGTATAAACTGAGAAGTACCAACAGCCTGATTCTATTTGCATAACAACAGATGCAGACAGTGTACGGATGATTTTCTTATTTTTAAAAAAAAAATCTGGAAGGGAACGACTCTGGAAGAGAAATGTCTAATGAACCCTCTCTGAAAAAAAACTCGGTAATAGATTTTGGAAATTCTCCCAGAGACATTTCATAATGTTCACCCATGACATTGGCCTATAAAGTCACAGATCACGAACTGAAAAAGCAAACTACCAGAGTCACAAGTTACCGCCTCTGATAACCACTGAGAACAGTCTGAACATTTAACATGTCCTGGGTAGGTACTGTCTCACAAGTTCATGTGCCTTACTTCATGAAGTTTCTCTTCGCCTTAACATTCACCTATAAACATTAATAATCATTAAAGTAATAAAAAAGTACTCACTAAAGTCGCTACAGTCCTTAGGTGGCGGTCTTTAAATAAAACAGGAGTCACTTTGAAACAAACTTGCTAGTCATGGAAAACAGAAAGCAGCTCTCGTTTAATTTAACCTTTGTTTGTTTATGTCATAAAAGACTGCAACTGTGGAACTAATGGGAACTTCACATCCCCTCACGTACTGTACATAAGCGTTACGACCCGCGCTGCATACTTCAATGGCTAAATGATTTAGACGCGATACTTTTTTTCCGCGAGTTATCTTAGAAGGTGTCTGTTAAAATAAGCGAGGGAAAAAAAAAACCCGGACCAGAATACTTGCATTCCTAAACAGCGTACTTCTTTTATTGCAACATGCGCCGTTAATTTCCTTAATTCAGAGAGGGGGGGAATAATTAAACAGCACTTTTTTTAACAAAAAAGAGAAAGTGGAGGAGGGTAGTAGTGGTCTATTATCCTGCGACTGAACTTCAAAGGAAGGACACGCCGCTTTCTCCGGGTACAGGAGTGCTGGGATGGGGGCCCCCCCTCTCCTCACAACGGTCAAGGGCCAAGGCAGGCCTCTCCCGACGGGAGCAGGGCTGGAGAGCACCGGGCTGAAACCCGACACCCCCCAGAAACGGCTCACGTCGACGCGCCCGGCTCCCCTTCCCTGCCCGGTACGTGCCAGCTCCCCCCCTGCGCAATGGCTGTTGCGCGCACCGGCCTCGGCTCCCGGCGCAGGAATGAGGAACCCGGCATTCCTCGTTTCACAGAGCAACACAAAAAGCAGGTTTGGGACGAAAAGGAGCGGCTCGGGGGGGGGGAGTGTGCGCTGGGGGCACAGAGGGGAAAAAAGAAAGAACGGCTTTGGTAGAAATCGGGAGCTGTTTCCTTGCGGCCGGCAAAGGTTCCTTGGCAAGTGTTTATATTGTGCTACCTTCTGTGTAGCAGCGCTCCAGAGCGTCTCTAGACACACTCTCAGAGGGGGTCGAGCAGAGCGAGTCGGCCGGGCCTGGGGCTGGCCCTTGATCCTGTTATATATACGGATCTACCGTATAAACCGTGCGCAGAAGATTCATGCGGCACATGCAACGTAAATCACTTCGGCGTGAGAAGGGCAGGGGGTTCGCTCACTCACAGGTCACCGTACTTGCTTGCATTGGCTGGGGATTACACCCAAGAGCCCCGTGAGGCGCAGCCGAGACCCGACACAGCTCATAAAGACAGCAAAAATACATGTCTTTATTTAAATAGGAGTCCACGATGCCCCCCACCCCCTCGTGAGCTGCTTTTGCTGGTGACCCGTGCTATGCTTTCTAAAACTTTGCCCTTTTTGTTGCATTTGTTTTTTTTTTAAGTTTTGAGAATAGCAGCTCACACATAAAAGCAAAAGGACTTCAATCCCTGTGTCCTCTTTCTCCAGACACTCTCATATTCCCCCCTTCATCTGTGGTCATTTAAAGAGCACACAGTGAGTTTGCATAGTCTGTCATCAGGGATCTATACGTGCCAGCCCAAAAATCAGAAAAGAGAGAAGCTAAATCTGTCAAATATAAAAATAACTGGCATATCATCACACGGTGCTGGTCAGCATGTTCACAGTCAACACTACACAAAACAGCCATGTCTTAAATGTCACAGGATATTACAGTACACTGCATGGGAGTTAGGCTTCAGAAACAGACCTGTAACTAGTGTGGTTAAGCAAAAAAAAAAAAGAGTCAGTAACTGAAAATTCCCTTTCTGGGACCGAGCTGCGCTTGAGAAGATAAGGCGGTGCGTTTATATGGGATCTTCATCGTGCAGGTGTGTTACAGAGGGAGTGCGCACCACTGAGGCTGCGCAGTGACTCTTCTGCCCCCGCTGCTTCTCTGCACCAGCCCCAGGAAGACCACAACGAGCAGCCCAGCGCCTTCCACCTTTAAGACCGGAGCTCGGCAGAGGTAGCGATAAGTAGCCAACTGGCTTCGAAAGGCGAATACCTAAAACATAATATGTAAACTGCCTCACATATAACAAATGTTGTATATAAAAAATGAAAACTGCACGTATATATATATATGACCCAGCATGAAAGCATTCAGCAGTGAAGAAATGTAAAAAAAAAAAAGAACAAACCAGCCCCATGTGTCTTGTGCTTTTGTAAATATTTTAGGTTTTAAAACAATTTATTCCAAAGCCGAATCCAACTTTTTAGCCACCCAGCCACGGTAACGCCATGTTAGCATGACATATTTACATTACACTGATTTAGAAACTGGTGGCTTTCGAAAATCCAACTTAATCCGAACTCCCCAGCTCAGGCTCCGGGGGCTTTGGGAAGCAAAGCTTTCAGAGAACTATGCAGAGAAAACTCGGCATTTGGCAGTTTCGGACTGCGATGGTCACGAGCCAAGAAAAATGGGGACACTGCCTCCCTTTAAAGGGAACTTGTCTTGACTTTTTTAGCAAGCTTGGCGGCCAGCCTAGAAAGACAAGTCATAGTTTATTCGACAAAAGAGATTTTCTCCAGGCATCGGTAGCATACAATGAACTTTAAAAAGTATTTAAAAAAAAACACAAGATTTGTATTGCTTTTAGTTCACCTTCATTAACTACTTTATAGTCTCGTAAATCTGTTCCATTCAGAATCTTGGCAGGTGGGAGGATTTTCTGTTTCTTGTTCTCAGGTAACGCAAAAAAAAAAACCCCCGACAACATTCTATTCTGCGTTTGTGAAGGAGAGCAATCTTTGGAAAAAAAAACCTTGCAGAGATTCTATAATGTGTGCTCTTATGTAATTCCCAGCAATTTAAGGATGCATGGCAACAGTGATGGATTCTGGTGGACGGTAGGTGGGGAAAAAGGCACAGGGGGAAGACCTCCTTTTCCAAAATGAATGTCATCTCTTTTCACGATGTCTCATAAAACAAAAACACAACAGGGGGGGGAGAGAGGAGGGTTGTAGCTCACAAGTCAAAGGGATTCCCCCTACAGGGGCTCATCATTAAAAGCCAACGGCCCTGCCTGTCCGAGACAGAAAAGCAAGCTATCATACACTGCGCACTCCCAAACAAAACAGCCTTTGTGCTCCGCGTCCAGAAGCATTCCTAGTAATTAAAACTTCCTCGAGATTAATAAACACAAATACACATCCCGTCTCTTTGTCGAGCGTGCGCGCATTAAAGTCAAGTTATGTTGGATCAAAAAGCAAACTCCTTGCAAAAAAAAAAAACACAGTTGCAAAATACAGAGTGAAAGCAACGCTGCAATGCAGGTGTTCACGCAACAACAAAACACAACAACAACACAACAGGAAACCCTGTCTGCAAAGCCTCCGTTCCCAGTTGCCAGCAGCAGGGAGAAGTCAGGGCAAGCCTTCAGGAAAAGGTCCCAGTCACTTTGTTCTCCATCTGGATACGAACTCTGGATGAACCCAGCAAAGCACCAGGGAGTGAAACACTCCGCATAACTCTTTCACTCCTCCGAAAACCTCGCTGAACAACACAAAAAGCAGAAGAAAGCCACAGGCCAAAAGGCTCCCTGCTCTCCTGAGACAGGGCTCGATTCACACTGAGTTACGGGCAGGGGGGGGCCCTCAAAAAAAACGCAAGCCAAGAAAACAACCCTAAAAAAAAACGGTAACAAGGGCGCGGGGCCACACCCCACACCACACAAAAAAAAACTCAAAAAAAACACAGCTGGGGCGAAAAAGAAGAGAAAAACACAGCCCCGCCGCAAAAAAACAACAGATACACCCTTTTGCCCCAAATTTTGGTGATACTTTACCAACCGCACAACCAGTGCTTTCATTGCAGGCCCCGAGACCGCTGCGGTTGTCTCAGTAAACAAGATCTCAGAGCGTTTCTTTGTATGATGCTCTGCGAAGAAAATTAAGAAAAAAATGAGGCCAAAAGACCGTCTATATTGGCCTGTAGAGCGCAACATCTCAGTTGTATCAATTTCAAAAGTGTCAACATAAAATTATTTAGAAATACGACTTCCATATTCCTCACAATGTCAGCAGGTCTGCTCTTAGTGTCATTATACCAGCTACTTGTGCCTTCATAACACACAAATGGAGGAAAAACAGATGTAAATGAAACACACTGAGCAGAATCCACAGCCTACATGTACAGTAAACATTTTCACATTGTACACGGTAATCTGGGCCCACACATTTCATCATCTTCAGCTCTGAAAGTCTTACACTTTGCATTTAATAACATAATTTAATAAAACTTCGAATACAGCATTAGATCCCCTCTGGCGTACATGGAACCAAACAAAAAGCTCAGCTAAACGAGGGAAATAAAAAAAAAAACTGCGCGCACACACAATCCAGGGAGCTGATCCTTAAGCTTCCGTCAAGATGAGGGAAGGCAGCTGAGACTCCAAGGTAAATTTCACACGTTCTGTTTCCCGGCATTGCAGGTGAACAAATGTCACCAAATCCCCTCTCCCCACAGCGCTCGCCGAACAGCCAACCCCAAAACAAATGGCACCAAATCCTTCAAAAATATTAATCAGCCACTGAGCACCCACACCAATAAAGGAGTACATCACTCATGAAGGGCGCATGGTGCTGGGATTTGGGAATTCCACAGATCGTTAAACAATAAATGCCAAAGTTGTGAAAAGGGAAACCGACAGCGTCTCTCTCCAGCCATCCGAGACTTTTATTAATCGTCAAAGGTCGTTTAAACTCTTGCAAAAAAGGGCGACAGGTACTGCTTCTTTTTTTTTTTTACAAAGCTCATTACACTGCATAATCAGCAGCTGCAAAAAAAAAAAACTACCATTGATTTTCACTTAAACAGTGGATGAACATGGTCTTATAATAGAGTATACCCACAGAGCACGTGAAATAAAAATATTACCCATGCAAATACGCGGAGGGCCGCATTCAAAGTGAAAGCTTAAATTCTCACCACCATGGAAAACGGAAGATTATGCCTCTTGATTCTCTTGGATGTCGTGAGGGGCTGAAGGCCCTTGTCTGTTGTGTCAGCTGCAAACCTCACTACCACGCTAATGGATCGTGACACCTCGGTGCCCTGTTTTAATCTGGAGCTGCCAAGCAAATGTTTTACCCCGCTGTATTGCCTATATACTGTATTTAAAGATTTGGTGTTTTTTTTTCGCTCGCTTATTGTTCATAATGCTGTAGTCCCCACAGAGCGAAATACCAGACACTCATTTTTTTCGATTCATGTCAGGCTCTTAAAATAGTATTTTTGCACGGATTTTGCACGAGTTCTGGCCTATTCACTGAAAACAAACAAAAAAACAAAAACAAATCCAGCCTATAATATTAAAGAAAAACCTGCTATCTGTCTCTGTGCATAGCAAATACAGTCACACGCCTTTTTTTAAATAATTCCAAGTAGCAGGGCGCACCTAAATCTAACCTAAACTCTCGCCACGTCGACCTTCCAAACTTATCAAGCGGGCATTAAAGATCTTTTTGGGATGGGGGAAAAAAAGTCGACAAAGCCTCCACACTCATCGCCATACTGTAAACACCGGGCAATGTGCACAGCCGCAGCAGTTACCGCTCAAAACGTCCAAGAAAGCTTTTTGTTTGCTTGCTTTTTACCTGTTTTCTCCTTGATTTCACACAAGACGTTGAAAAGTGCAGGTTTCATTCTGTGGCAGTTCAGCGCGTGCTTCCTGCAACGAGAACAGAGGGAGGCTCACGCGAGTCCGCGAGTCCACGGGACACGCTCATCCATAAGGGTCCGTCCGGAAGACACAGACAGCCTGATCATCATATATATATTAAATATGTCACATTGTTGATGGAAGACGTTTCAAAAATGGTTTACACAGCAACCACAAATACACCGGAATATGCACGGAATATTTCACAAAGCACATGAACTGGTAATAATAATAATAATAATAAAAAAGCTATTATTGTTATTATGTTTCACTCAATTTAAGGTACTTTTGCACAGATACTATATAACTAAACTAGATTCTTGAAACATAATCAATTTTTATTAATACTCATCTTTTTACAGAAAAACTGACTTCTCCACAGACAACAACTGGACGCACCGATTGAAGGCCATTCAACAGCTAACGCAAATCCACACTCACCATTTTAATTTTATTTGCTTTTTATTACATTAAAAAAATATTTTTTTAATTTACCTTCGAAAACACAGCTTAAAAGCAGGGCATTATTTTTCCGTTTAAAAGCTAAAGGCATTTATTGCTTTATTCTAATAATTGTTATTAAAATAATATTAGTAAAACAAAACGTGAAAGAATACAGTTATGTTTATTTTGATTTGTAATTTTAAATGATTTTACGCCCCTCATAACCTTTCATGTGTTAGGTAAATAATATTTATTCTTCTTATTATTATTCACTTAACTGTATCGTTTACCTTTTTAACCTTTAGTTGCACAATGTTTTACTGTTGCATATTTTTAATAATTTATATTTATAGGGCAGCTTTAAATAACCGTGGCTCAACCCGAGTGTTTACAGAAAGCATTTCTGCGTGTAACAGAGTCGCTAAAGACTTCCTTTCAATTTATGTTTCCGTGAGTGTGTGTTGATAGCATATTTTTACTGTCCGCTACAGACTGTTTCTATAAACAATACAGAGGGATTAAACACGTGTACGAGTTTCCGTTTCCACTCTCTTCTTACATTAGAAACCTACTGTGCTCTGTTTTTGTTGCTGTTTTTCATTCTTCCAAGTGTTTTTGTCCTAAACGAAGCACAAAAGTTGCGATTGCTTTATTTATTCCGTATCTGCGATCTGTGGCATAGGTTACGTATTTTTTTGAAGTGCAGGAAAAGCACGATTACTTTTGCAGATCGTTAGTAAATGGACTGCTTTCGAGACATTTTTATATATCTTTTCAGCTTGTGTCCGTCCCCACAGCACTGCAAAACCCCCCGTGTTACAGACGCACGTTTCTGCGGCTGCATTGATGCCCGACGCAGGGAGAAATTATAAACTGTTAAAGGGATTTAGATTTGTAATCTCCCTAAACACCCCCCGCACAAGCCAGGGCAATGCGGCGCCTTGCCTATTTATACTTAAGGAAAATAAAACACGAAAATGGAATGACAGCTATCAATCCCGTGATGGACTGCTCGCTGCTGTTCCGCTGCAGCCGCACAAAACACGACAGACAGCTACTGTAGGTGTTCTGGAAAAGTTTAAATTTTAACTACACGACAATCGGGATTGAAACACCCCCCGTCGCTGAAAGCGCAGTCGGGTATCTTTTTCGTGCGCTGCTGGAGGGCGTACGGTACAGTAATTGCAAGTGTTTTAGGATCCATGATTTAGCTGTAATTGTCCCTGTTGGGCATCCTAGGGGAAATGTCAGTTTTTCCTGCCTCTTTTATTAATATTTTTTTGTAACGCGTCCCCGGATACGCACGCTGGAGGTAAAGGCGAGCACGGTACCTGGCCTGCGCCTCGTCCAGACTTTGGTCTGTGATGGTCATGATTTGCTGTAAAATGTCACCAATGTCCTGTTTCCTTCCTCCCTCCCCGTCCGCGCCTCCCGATCCGTCCTGCATGTGCTGGGACAGGCCGGGGTGCCCCGCCATCCCTACTCCGGCGTGAGAGTGCATCAGCCGCGGCTGATCGTCCATCTCCAGCCCGTCCTCGCCTCTCCGCCGCGTTTGGGCTCCAGGCAACACGCACTTATCCCGAAAGGCAGGAGGAGAAGCCTTTACAAATTCCTCCGGATCTCTCTCTCTCTCTCTCAATCTCACTCTCTCTCTTTCTGGGAGAAAAGCAGAAGACGCAAGCCCCTATCTCTCTCTCTCTCTTCCTCTCTCTATCTTTCTCCCCAGCTGGTCTGAGTGAAATCTGATCTGAATTGCAGG